GCTCACCCAGCAGTAGCTGAGAGGTTTTCCCAGCGGTTCCTTTCCAGATTTCATCCTGACCCTGCAGGTTTCCCTGCCACACATCCAGCTGCTAACTGGTGTCTCCTGCTGCAGTCACATCTGTCCTCAGCTGGGGAGGGACTCTGGGAAAGACAACCAGAAACATCTGCAGCATTCCCCAGGTGCTTCTGCCTTAAAGACCTTAACCTTGGCTGGCTCCTGGCACTGCTGTTCTGGAGCAATGACCAAACCATGACCTGCTCCTGGCTGGTGTGAGCTCCCTGCCACTGCTTTGGGGGTAACTCTGTGTTCTGGAGGTGCCTGAGCTCAGACGCTGCTTTAGTTGTCACTGACATCTTTCATGGAAAATCCTTTCCTTAGGATTTTTCCTCCTGAGAAGCTGAGAGGCCTCAGGGACAAAATGTAAACAATTATTGTCTGCGGCTGTGGAATGCAACAGGTGCATCTGGGATTGGTCTCATGTGGTTGTTTCTAATTAATGGCCAATCACAGCCCAGCTGGCTTGGAGTCTCTGTCTGTGACACAAACCTTTGTTATTCATTCTTTCTTTTTCTATTCTTAGGATTTCATCAAAAGGCTGGGCTTTCTTCTATTCTTTTAGTATAGTTTTAATGTAATATATATCATAAAATAATAAATCAGCCTTCTGAAACATGGAGTCAGATCCTCATCTCTCCCCTCATCCTCAGACCCCTGTGAACACCGTCACACAGTTTGTTTGGGGGGTGTGAGTTGTCCCACAGGATGTGATCCCGCCTTGGCCTGAGCCCATTCCTGCCCTGCCTGTGGCACTGTCACTGTGCAGAGCGGGGGACAGCGGGGACAGCCAGGACCTGTGAAATGCGGCCAGGAGAGCCTTGTCCTCCTGTCCCTGCCAGGATGGATGGAGGAGCTCCTGAGGCTGCCTCGATCCTGCTGGCACTGAGCAACCTGCACTTAAATTGCAGCTGTGAGGCAGCTGAGCACCACAGGGAAGTGCTTGAACCCCTGGTGAGAGCAGCCTGCATCGCTTCACTCCAGCACAGTGAGAAAGGCAGCTCTGGATGCTGTGAGCTGCTGCAGAGCTGCCATCCCTCCTCCCCTTCACCTCCCCAGCCCGTTCCGGGTGGGCTCTGCCTTCTCTCATTGCCAGAGGTGCTTTTGCTGTCCTGTGTCACATTAAAGCCATGCAAATAGTTTCTATAGCAACAGGTGTCTTTGCCGAGCTCTGACGCAGAATCCTGAAAGGTCTTTCTCATTCTGTCTTCACCCAGTTTTGATTTTTTATTTTATCAGCTCTTTTTTGAAGATAAAGGGCAAATTAATTCTGCTGTGTTTCAGGAGTTAACTTGCAGCACAGGTGGCTGTTTAGTTTCAACAGCCCAATGAAGTTTTTGCACCAGGAGCTGAACTTTTGGCTGAAGGAAAATTCACCTGGAATGATTTAGAGAGCACAAACTCTCTGTACAAACCATGAAGTCAAACTAGGGAAGCATGGTCTGGTAGGCAGAGTGAAAGAATGAGAAAAGGAGCAAAAATTTGTCCCCAGCTTTGCTTCTGCCCTGTTTAGTCTGAGGTTATTTCCCCTCCTGTCCTTTCAGCTCTGTTAAATTTTCCAGAACATGTGCTGCAGCGCACAGGCTGAGCTTTTATGAGCCCTGTTTGATGCTATTGCAAACGGAAAAAATTAGAAAAAATTTTAAAAAATCTTTAAAAAAAAACCTAAAAACCCCAGACAAATTTAGATAAAATGGTGTGGCCTCCCTGCACAAGGTGTTTGAGTCTGTGCCAGGGAAGTGTCTCCTGTGTGATCACTGCCAACAGCTGCTGCAGTGGGACACAGGGAGATGCAGCTGTGGAAAGATGCTCTGCCCACTCTGCTTTTGTCAACTCAGGGCTTGGGCTGCAAAGGGGGAGGTGTAGGGATGGGCAGGCTTCAGGCTGGGCTGATTTTCAGGAACAGAGACTTGTGAAGCAGAGACTGGAGCAGAATAGGGATAGGTGACCACTCTATCGCCATTTACTCAGGTGGTGGCCTTCAGCCTCACACTTGGTTTTACCTTTGTGCCCTTGCATCACCTGGCACTTGTGGAGGAGTTTTTGGAGGTCCTAACACTGAGCTGGTTTCTTCCTTTGTGGGCCTTTCTTCTCAGGGAGTAGCTGGTGCTGACAAAATCAGCTCATCTCACTGCAGGCACAGTGCGGGCGTTGTCTGTGACCTGGCTGCTACTTGCTGCTAATATTAAATAAATAAAAGGTGCAAAAATGGGAAAACCACTATAAATAAGAAGAGTGAAGCACCTCACAGCTCTGTGGCTGCAATTCTTGATGTGCAGATCTGTTTTCTTACCTCTGAAACTCCCCTGGCTGTACTGGGGCAGTGCCCATGCTGCTGAGGCTGGGCTGTGGCATTGGAGGGGATGTGCAAGAAGGATGGATGCTCTTTTTGCTTCTGTTTGATTGCTCTGGCCCTGAGAGGGATGCAGGGTGCCTTTTGTTCCTGGAGTTGCCTGTGTGGTACTTCTGAGGTCACTAAAACTTCTCTTTTCTCCCCTGAGCTGTGTCCATGATACAACACAGCTGGGAGAGAAAGTTTGTGAGGACCTGCTAATGTATATTTTGTATGTTATTTAGTGTATATCCATCCACATACACGTGGATATGAGGCTTCAGGAGTGAAGTACCTTCTGTTGTAGCTCTGCTCTGTGTCACACACCAGGACTCTTAATGAGAATTTGGCCATTTCTGGCTGTTCTGAACAATCTGCTTTGCTCGTGCGCTGACGTAAATCCATATCTGACATCAGGCTCTGATATGCTCCTGGTGAGGCTGGTGTGACCTGAGCTGGGGGTCCAATAACAGCAGCAGTCACTCTGGAGATGCTTCGTGGATCTGTTTGGATTTTGTTTTAATAACTCTGGCCACGGCAGCAGGTTTTGTGCAGCCACTGTTTGCCTTTCAGCTGTGGAAATGGCACGGCTGCAGAGTGCTGCAGGAGGGAGCTCAGCACCCAGAGTGCTGCTCTGCCTCCCCTTCCCTCTCCTGTGAGCCTGTTCAGGTCCTCTCTTTTGGGTTCTCCCTTTGCCTGGCTGAATTCATAATTATACATCTGCCTGATGCTGCCCGTGCAATCAAAACCCTCTCCAGCAGTGCTTGGTTTAAACCCAGAAATTCAAAGATCAGAATTATGTGCTTTCACAGAGCTGTTCCCTGGCCTTTTTCATGCCCCTATTCCTGCCCTCTGACCTGTCCCACACCCTCCTGGGATTCATCCTGGCTGCCTTGGTTGCCAGTCCTGCTCAGGAAGGATCCCGTGTCGCAGGCGGAGAGCGTTTCCAGGGTTACCTGTGCAGGGCTGATAGCAGGCAGGAAATTAAAATGCTCCATGAAGATGATCCCTTATCAACAGCAGATGGTGGCCATTAGCTGGATGTGTGTGTCAGGGGAAGGCACCAAGGCAAGCAGAGCAGGCATCACTGCTGGGTTTGTGTCACCATCACCGTTGGGTTTGTGTCACCATCACTGCTGGGTTTGTGTCACCATCACCGTTGGGTTTCTGTCACCACCATTGGGTTTGTGTCACCATCACCGCTGGGTTTGTGTCACCATCACTGCTGGGTTTGTGTCACCACCACCGCTGGGTTTGTGTCACCATCACTGCTGGGTTTGTGTCACCACCACCACTGGGTTTGTGTCACCATCACTGCTGGGTTTGTGTCACCATCACTGCTGGGTTTGTGTCACCATCACCGTTGGGTTTGTGTCACCATCACTGCTGGGTTTGTGTCACCATCACCGTTGGGTTTCTGTCACCACCATTGAGTTTGTGTCACCATCACTGCTGGGTTTGTGTCACCATCACCGTTGGGTTTCTGTCACCACCATTGAGTTTGTGTCACCATCACTGCTGGGTTTGTGTCACCACCACCATTGGGTTTGTGTCACCAGCCCTGCTGGTGCTCGCTGGTGCTTGCAGGGCAGTCCCTGAGTGCCCTGCTCTGCCTGTGGTGTGTGGGACTCTGCTTTCCTGGAAGGAGCTCCAAGGAGCCAGTGTGGCTCCCAGCTGAATTTGTTTGCAGAGTTCCTTGTCCCTGTTATCAGCTCACCTGTACAGGTGGTTCTCTCCTGCAAGTTTCTCCTTCATACACAACTTTTTTCTCTTGTTCTTCAAAAGATCTGATTTCTTGACTTGGGATTATTCTACTTTTAAGATCTCTGAGCATGGTTCAGGTGCCTGCAATCTCTGTGGAGACTGATGTGCCAGGATTGTTTGGGGATTTGTCAAGGGACTGATGAAAGTGGAAAATCAGCTGAGGATCCATTCTGAGATTAGCCAGGTGTCATGTTATGTGCTCCTTTTCTTACTGAGCTGTCTCTTCTCCCTTCTGTCTCTGTGGGAGTTTCCACACCTCACTTTTCTGCCGACTCTGAGGTGCAGAATCAGGCTGGAGTGTGGATGTGCCTGCCCATTTCAGATCAGGACAGCAAATCTCTCCCCAGATGTGTCTCTGACTTCTGTGTGTACCTGAACAGCTGCAGGATGAAATTTGCCTGCAAAGCCTTCTTGGAGACAGCAATGCTGCTGTTAAATGTTTGCAGGAACCACTGTGGTGGATTTTTAGGTTTTCCCTGGCCCCGGGCTGGCTTTGCTTGCTGGAAGCACGGCTGGAAGCCCACAGTGTCAGCTGTTAATTGCTCTAAAGAGGTCAGTAATTCTGCAGAGACCAGACCTGTTCCAACCCATGCTCAAGCTGTTAATTGAATAGAACACTCCAGGCCGACTTCTGGTGCAGCACGTAGGCAGGGTGACACCGGGGCAAAGGCGGGATTGTACCCAAACCAAAACGTGCTTGTGATGTTACTCCTCACTTCCCTCCCACACCTTAACCCTAAAATCTACAGCCCTGAGAGAGCTCTGCCCTTGCTACAAGCTTTCTTCTTGTCTGGAAGAGCCTACTATGATTTTTGGGTTTATTTTTAATGCAGATGTTTGATTTCAGATGTCCTGAACGACGCCATCTTCGACGAAGACCATGATGAGATGGTAATTGTGAAGGACATAGACATGTTCTCATTGTGTGAGCATCACCTCGTTCCATTTGTTGGAAAGGTAACTCTCCCTCACAGAACAAATGTGGGAATGCACAGTAAAAGACCTTAAGGACATGTAAAAGACTTTGCAGCTGTAGCTACAAAGCTTTTTAAGGCCGTAAGTACTTGCTGCTCACGGCTACAGTCCTGGAAGTTTAATCTTCAGAATACAAATAAGGAAGGTCTCCTTAATGTGAGGTTTTATTTGAATTTAAGCTCCTGAAATATAATGCTCAACCTTTGCTAGTCTAAGTAATCTAATGGTTTCTGACATTTCATATCAAAGCTCTTCTCCATGAAGCAGCAGCAAGCCTTGAGGGCAGACATCTGGATATTAAACCAGCTCACCCTGCACACTGGCTCTGTCATGGATTTAGCTCCTGGCTCAGAGCTATCCAGAGCACATCCATCTCTCTGAAACCCCCTGTGAGTGGAACACACTCATTAGCAGCCCTGCCTTAATTATGAGAACCAGGTCAGGGAGAGGGTGGCCAAAACTGGCAGTGCTTGATTGGGGAGTCCTGTGAAAGGGGCTGGTGCTTCACAGGGTGCTGGAATTGTGTTCCCAACAACTTCAGGAAGATAAAATTTCTCCAGTTAACCGCTGCAGAGGTGATGAGGAGTTCTGAGTGGGAGCTGCACGTCTCAGCCTCTTCAGTCCCTTATCAGCACAGAGGATGGAGCTCAGCCTGAGCCATCTGTTGCCACGAGGTGCTCACAGGTCCAAGAGCAGCACGTGCTTGTGTTGTCTGTAAAATTCAATCAGTGCCACATATGTTCCAAGCAAATTGTCTCCCCATAATAAGATACATGAACAGAAACAGCTGTTTATTCAGCTGAGTCAATTCAGGTTTGTCTGCTTTCTTTTCTTGCTGTTGGTATTTTATACTGGAGAACAGGATAACGCCTTTTTCTGTGCAAGCTTTCTGTTGTGCCTGTTACTCTTGGTTGTGTGCGCTGTGTATATTCTCCCTGTTATTCCTGTGGCAATGTGTGCATTTTTTTTTACATCCAGCTGTTTAGCCTGTGTGGTTTGGAGAAATCTCCTCACAAACACCAACTCATCCTTAAAAATGACTTGGTATGGCTCTGAATATTCAGAGTAACCATTGCCCTGCTGGGTGCACCAAACAGGCTGCAAACACTGACCTGCAGGTCTTGCACTTGCAGTTCTGCCTTACAGGAAATCGAGAAATCTGCAAAAAATATGGGGAACAGGACTCAAGGCTTATTTCTAAGAGGTGTCTCTCACTTTGTCTGAAATGTTTCATGTGTCTTTTCAGGTGTCAGTGGGTTGATTGCCTGACAGGAGGGGTAGGAATGAGCAAGTTAGCCAGGTGATCAGGTGCACTGTGGTACCTCCACTGCAGGTGCAGCAGCACAGGATTCTGAGATGGGGCCTCCAGGCAAAGCCAGAATCCCCCACTGACACTGCCCTGCTCCAGCTTGGCTCATTTTCCAAGTCTCTGGTACAGTGGCACAGGACTGGTTTATAATCTGTTATAACTCTAAACCCACTGGGATTCAGTGGATTCCTAAAAATAAGGAGATAAATGTCCTTCCCTCCATATCTGAGCACTTTTATGCTAAACTCCTTCCAATTTAGTTCAAGTACATGTTCAGCAAATCCATATTTGAGCAGGATGGAAGCTGAGTTAACCACCAGTGATCTCTGATACTAAAACAAGAGAAATAATCAAATCAGGAAGTGCAGCCTGATTTTTGGTGGCAAAGCACTTCTTGCCACCAGAACTTTCACTGCAAGTAAAGCACAGTCCCTCTTCCTTCCTCTCCCTAAATCCATTTAAGGCCTTGAAAGAAAAGCATGTTTATTTTGGACAAATAGTGCTGTGCTGAGTAACAGACTGCCTTTGTACCCAGATGCAGCAGTGTTCTGGAGCATTCCTGACACTTGGGACCTGAGCCTTGGCTCCTGGAGAGCTGTGACTTCTCTGCCCCTCAGAAAAGCTCCCCTGCTCTTCACCAGGACCTCGTGAGATGCCCCCAGCCTCAGCCCCACAGTTCCCCAGGCTTGCATGGTGCCACGTTCCTCCCACTTGCTGAGACCTCTGGGCAGTCCCAGAGTCAGTCCTGGGGCAAATGCACATCCCATTGTCTGTGCATGAGTTCCACCTGCCCTTGGGAGGGTGCTTTTGCTGCTGTTAATGGCTCTTCTCCTCTGCCCAGGTGCACATTGGTTATCTCCCCAACAAACAAGTGCTCGGCCTCAGCAAGCTCGCTAGGTAAGTGTTCTAATGAAAGTGATGCTAATTTGTAAAAAGGATTCCAGGCTGTGCTAGCTGTGTTAATCTTGTTAATCTCCTCTGCCTCTAAAGCTCTGCCCACTTTGTGTCCTGGATTTGGATTTAAACCAATCCTCAGCATTAGTTTTGGGATTCTGTTTTTTGGGGGATTTTTTTTGGGTTTTTTTTGTGGTATTTTATTTTATTTTATTTTATTTTATTTTATTTTATTATTTTTAAATTTTTTAAAATTTAATTTAATTTAATTTTTAAATTTTATTGTATTTTATTTTATTTTATTGTATTTTATTTTATTTTTTTATTTTATTTTTAAAAGTTAATTTAATTTAATTTTTAGATTTTATTTTATTTTATATTTTATTTTACTTTATTTTATTTTTTATTTCTGTGGAGAGGGCAGATAAGTCTTGGAGCTGTGTGTTAATTCTCACCAGTGGCTGCAGCAGAGCCCTGATGCTTTTGTAGGTTCCCCCAGAGTCTGCAGGGAGCTCTGAGGCAAAGAACAAGAGAATTTTGTTCTGTTCTAAGGCAGGCCACAAAAAACCAGTGAGAATTTCCAGCTCTTTACCACTTGGGTGTAAATTGGCTAATAAAAACAAAAATCCATAAATGAACATATTTCATGGATATAAATTCAATCTAAAGCTTTCATCTCTTAGCTGACTCTTCAGAAAAATGTGACATTTCTTTCTTTCACTACAAACTTGCTGAGAGTGCTGTGGGGTAGATTTTATAGATAAAGTTCAGCCTAAGAAACAAAGCAATTGTGATGCACTTGAGAAATCCATTTAGTATGTAAAACAGCTTTATTTCCTCAGCAAGTGCCCTTGGATTAGTTGCACTGACTCTTGTTATTAAGTGACACATTCTCCTGCTGGTGAGGAAGAGGATGGTAGATCCCTTCAATAAGCAGATTATTTGGGATCAGAGTGGAGAAACAAATGTAAAAATTTGGCTGCAGCTCAGAAACACCACATAGGTTCTGCTCTCCCTGATGGGTCTGTTAATCCTGCTGTAGTTGCAGCAACACTAATGAGAAATTAGCCCTGCAAATCTGCCTGCCTGCTGGGTTTCCTTAGCAGGTAAGAAACGTGTAGGATATGGCAGCAAAATGTCCTAAAGGGATCCAGATCTGTTCCAACAGATCTCTGCTTGCACAACAGAGTTGGGTTTGGAAGGGGAAGGGTCCTTGGAGGTCACATCTCACATCTCAGCTGTGTAAATTCATACTGCAGGGAGGCATTTAGGAGTGGGCTTTGCTCTGGTTAAAAGGCTGAAAAGATGTTTTTTTTTGTTGTTGTTTTGGTTTTTTTTTTTTGTTTTTTGGGTTTGGTTTTTTTTTTTTGTTTTGTTTTTTTGGTTTTTTTGGGTTTTTTTGTGGCTGTAGGAGCTGCTGGAGTTGCAGGCTGGGGTTCTGAGCTGTCAGACCTGCAGCTGCTGGGCAAAATCCTCATCTCCTGTTGGCTGCTCATGCTTGGGATGTGTGTGGCATCCCATGGCTGGTGTTGAGTTCTGGGTGGGTCTTTAGGTGGAGCAGAGCTGGGGGGTTTGTTTTTTGGAGCTGGATTTCTGAGGAGAATCCATTCCTCCTGAAGAGACTGTCCTGAGCACGGGGTTTCATTTCTGCAGGGCTCCAGTGCAGGATCAGGGATCACATTTGAAATGTGCACCCACTGCTTTGTGCTTGCTCTGGTCTCTGTTTCTCTCTTGACTGCTGCTGGAAAAGGAGCTCAAAATGCTTTGCATGGAATTTTTTTTAAATGCAAGTGGGACCATGGTGCTGGAAAGATACAAATTTCTTCCTGTTTAACCTCAGAATGGAAACCTGCATCAATGTGTGCAATGCTTCCTGCACTGTGCTCAAAGCTCAAATCTTGCCTCTGTCTAAAGTGAGGGTGAGACTCCCATATTCTGCAATAATGAAGAGATTAGGTTCTTGTATAACAAAATGTTCTCACTTTTGAGTGCTCACCATGAAGAGGTTTGGGGGTCAAACTGTGCCTGCCTTTGGTGCCCAGCATAATGCAGCCAGTGTTCAAGCAAAGATTTGTGAGGCTGCTGGTGCTCTAGGCCTAATCTTTCATAATAGGATTAGTTTTATGTGGTGAGTTTCTGTAGTTGTGGATGACCTGCATTCAGTAAACAAACATCTCTCCCTGGGTTTTAAGCTCAGGCTTGAAAATGCTCTTTCAAACAACTGTTTTTACATGAACACCTTGTTAGGACTTCTTCTGTGCAATATCTGAGCATGTTTCCTATCCATATGGTTAATCTAAATATTGTGTTGCTTTGTTTGATGCTGTAGCACAACCATTTCATTGCTGGAGGGGAGTTTGTGCATTTAATTCTCTCTCAAAAGCAGCAGGAGAGTCTCATTGTCAGGGATGACTCTTGTAAGTGATGCTTGAGGCTGCCAGCCAGTGTCTGGCTTTTGTCTGGTGTGCCCAGACAGGTATCAACGCTTTACAGCAACTCCTTTTTGTGGCCACTTGAAGTGTAATTAAGCATTTGAGCTTGGCATGAACAGCCCCTGCAGTTACAGAGCAATTATATGGATTTTTTAAAATGTGTGGATTCTGGAGCTGTCATTGAGTGTCACTTCCACTGCCACCAATGGCTTAAATGTGGAGTTGTATTGAGGTGATCCCTGCACTGAAATGTGAAGGATGGGGTGAGATATGAGTGGGTGGAGAGATTCTGTTTTAAATAAGGCCAATTCTGTCTCATTGTTCTCAGCTAAATTTGTGGCCAAATGCGAGAATCCCAAACATTTCTTGCTCAATTCCAGCATTCTGGGCATCCATGATCTGAGCTGACCTTAAGGCAGCATTTGGTCCAGTCTGAAACACCGGGAAATATTCAGAAATTAGGGAGATTTTGGACATGAATTCCCCCACAGCTGTGTGATGCAGGTGGGTGGGGATACAAGGAATTCCAAACCAGCAGAAGGAGGCCAGAGGAGTGACTGGTTTGCCCTGAAATAATCCCTGGTGCTGCAGGTGGGGGTAACCTGTCACTCCCCACAGGGATGTGCCAAGGGCAGGCTGAGATGTTCCTCACAGCCATGGACTCACACAGGGGTCTCTTTAAACAGCACCAAATTAATTGTGAAGATCAGTCAGTAGCCAGCTGGGAATAACTGTAATATTGTCTTTTTCCTTTCTCCTTTAGGATCGTGGAAATATACAGTAGAAGATTACAAGGTAAACACGAAATTTGGTGTTTGTTGTGTGCTCTCCTCTCCTAGTCAGTGCAGGGGGCTGGTAACTGGAAATGTGGAGTTTAAGAGGGGAGAAAAACTCTTCTGGAAGAGATTATGTTGCTGTTCTTAGCCCCTGCATTCCCAGTGAAGGTAACTTCTGCCTAGGGAACTAAATGGAGCCTGGAACTCATTCCAGGGATGAAAGTGCTCCAGGTAGAGCTGCCAGGAATAACTAAACCAGTTGGATGCTGCTGGGGATGAGCTCTCCTGCAGAGATTTGGAGAGATGCCTTCAGGAATCCTTGGAGCAAGGAGAAGGAGCTGCCTCCTGCCCCTGAGAGGGAGAGGAAGCTGCAGGGTCCAAACCTTGGGCTGGGCTGATCCTGCTGCATTTGTCCCGTGGTTAAATTTGGCCTGGTCTTGGCAAGAGGAGTCTCAGTGACCACCAGGCTGGTGAATAGAGGGTGCTGGAGCTGCAGGAAGTGAAGCTTTGCAGGACAAAGCTCATTTTTGATCTCAGCTTCCTTTCCCTAAGGAGAGAAATTGGGCGTGTGGAATAAATGGTGCAGCAGGAACGTTGGGAACAAACACATTAAAAATTGAAACAGAGCAGAGAGGCAAGAAAATCCTCTTGCAAAATAGGAAATGGAGGAGCTGGTAGAACAAATTGTGGTTGGAGAGATGGAATGCAAAGTGGCTCCGAAGATAAACAAGAAAATAAGAGGTCTGTTGCAGGATACAAATGGAACAGAGGATGGACGGGGCTGGGAGCACCCTGGTCTGGTGGGAGGTGTCCTTGCCCATGGTGGGGGGTTTGGAATGGGAATGAGATGGGTCTGAATGTCCCTTCCAACCCAAACTATTCTGGGAGCCTGAATTCCCCGTTGTTCCCCCAGTCCAGGAGCGCCTTACCAAACAAATCGCCATCGCCATCACAGAGGCCTTGCAGCCCGCCGGGGTCGGCGTCGTCGTGGAGGCCACGTGAGTGAAACCAGAGATCCAGGGAGGGATCCCAGAGCTCCAGGAGGGGATCCAGAGCTCCAGGGGGGATCCAGGAGCTCCGGGGGTGGTTTCAAGGGTGGGATCCAGGAGGTCCAGGGTGTGATCCCAGCTTCGTGTGATCCCAGGAGTTCCATGGGTGGGATCCCAGATGTTCCATGTGTGGGGTCCTGGCTCTGTGTGATCCCAGGAATTCCAGGGTGGGATCCAGGAGTTCCACAGGTGGGATCCAGGAATTCCATAGGTGGGATCCCAGGAGTTCCAAGGGTGGGATCCCAGCTCTGTGTGATCCCAGGAGTTCCATTGGTGAGATCCCAGATCTGTGTGATCCCAGATGTTCCGTGGGTGTGGGATACCAGGAGTTCCAGGGGTGGGATACCAGGAGTTCCAGGGATAGGATCCAGGTGTTCTTCCATGGGTGGGATCCCAGATGTTCTAGGGGTGTGATCCCAGCTCTGTGTGATCCCAGCACTTCCAGGGGAAGGACCCAGGAGTTCCAGGGGTGGAATCCCAGATGTTCCAGGGGTGGGGTCCCAGCTCTGTGTTATCCCAGGTGTTCCATGGGTGGGATCCTGGTCCGTGGGATCCCTGTGCTGCAGGGCTGGTGCATGGTGGCTCTGTGCTGTGCTTGGTTGTCAGGCAGAGGGATTAGTAATTACAATAATAATAATAACAACACTATAAATAATAACATATTGCTACTAGTAATAAAAAATTAGTAATCCTGATGTGCTGGAGCCCACATTTAAAGTGGGAGCTGCCTGATCCTGTGCGGAGATGTGGCAGGGAGGAGCTGTCCCCACTGCACCAGGTCCATGCCCCGTGCTCCTGCTGCCTCCTGGAGCAGCCTGGGAGCAGCAGCAGGCATGTCCTGTGAGCAGAGTGCTCCTTGGGAAGGTGGGATTTCCCTGGGATCAGAGGGAAGGCAGAGCTCAGTGGCTGAGGATGTGACCCTTCCCCAGCTGAGGAGCTGCAGGTGCCCTTTCTGCTTGTGGAGGTTTTGCGACCTTCCCAGAACTGAACGTGACCGTGTAAGAACCATCTCTCCCTGTGGGATTCCCTTCCCCAGCAGCGTTCCTGGTGCCCTGACTTTCTCTAGGCATGATTTTCTGCTCTCTCCTAGGCACATGTGCATGGTGATGCGCGGGGTGCAGAAAATGAACAGTAAAACTGTGACCAGCACCATGCTGGGCGTGTTCCGGGAGGACCCCAAGACCCGCGAGGAATTCCTGACCCTCATCAGGAGCTGAAACTGTGTCACCCTCTGGATTGTCCTGTCCTGTGTCGCTGTCTGTCCTTGTCCCCACGTCCCAGCTCTAAACTCAATGGTTGTGAATTGTTGTCACGGTCCTTGTGCAGTGGGAGGCTCCTGGTGGCACCTGGGGAAGGTGGGATGGGGGAATCCTCCTGGATTCCCACTGATGCCACAGGGTTACCAGCCACAAACAGGAGTTTGGAAATGTTCTTCCATCCTTGATGTAGAATATCCAGCAGTCAGGAGAGAAGTGGGGCTCAGGAGTGAAATGGAAATGTTGTGTTTATGAGAATAAATGTGGAGCAGCACAGGAAACACCTGAAAGGATTGTGGATCTTTGTAGGGTTGGGATTGTCCTGAATTATTGGTCTGAATTATGTTTTATTGCAAGTCCTGCAGTGGCTGTTTCAGTAGCTGGATATGTGTGTTATACCTCTGAATTGTTACCTGTGGTGTGTTTTATATTCTTGCTAGTATTAACCTTCCTTTTCTGTGTATTTTTTTGTTTGTTTGTTTGAGAAATGTGTAAACTCCATTTTTCCTCTCCTCTCAACAGGCAGGGAATTAACTTCTGAATTATTTGGGGCACAGCCCTGTCTCAGTACAAAGGGGTTTATGCACCTTTTTCTCTGTGCCTCAGAAGCTCTGACCACTTGAACTGTCAGTCTCTTACTGTTTTAAAGGAAACTTTAACAGAGGAGAGGAAAAACCCCTGCAGAGTCTCTCTGCAGAGTACTGAGGTATCCAAAGAGGTTTTTAATATTTATATCTTGAGCTTTCTCTTTTGGTTTTCCATGGGTTAGACTGAGAAGCTAAAATCAGTCTGATAATGTGAAAATGAAGATTTGCAAGCATTCCAAGGTTTCCATTTCCAATGCTGGACCAAAGGTGGGCATGAAATCCTGAGCACAGCACAGGCACCTCCCCTCCCTGCCCACAGGTTGGGTTATTCCAGGGCAGAGCAACCTGGAGTGACAACAGCTCTCATTTCATAAGAGCAGCTGACAAAAGAGTTTCCAGGGCCACCAGGATGAATCAAACCACATTTCCCCCACCCCCGTGTGTGTGGCAACCTCTGTAAGTGGCAGAATTGGTACAAAAAGTTTCAGTCCAGCTGGACTTGGCTGAACTTCTGCTTTGTTACCGTTTTAATGGGTGTTTTGTAACTCTTAATTGGGAAAAGATGAGGAGCAAATGAGAACCACCCTGCTCACAGTGAGCTTGCAAAACAGATGTGAGCCAGGGGGTGGGTGCCCACGGGTTCCCAGGGCTCTCTCTGCTTTGTGGACATCAATCCAAGCTGTCCATGAAGCTCAAGGGCAATTCCTGCTCTGCCCAGCTCCATCTCACCAAAATTCCTCCCTCCTGCTCCAGCTCCAAACAAAATGAAAATCATGTCTGGTCAGATTGGGCCTAAAGAGCTTTTCCAGGGAGAACAAGCTCATGTGTTTAATTACACTAATTTCACCTTGAGGACCTTCACAGCATTATTGGAGAATCTTTTGGAGCATCCTCTGCCCTGGGTTTGTAGGATTGGGTGCTGGGACAGTGTTTGTCTCTGGTGTGAGCAAGCTGTGCTGCACATTGCTAAGCCACACCAACTCCATGGCATTTGTTTTCCTGAAATTGCCAGTTTTCAGTTAGTTCAGTTTATTACAAATTTCCAGCTGAAAAGCCTTAAACCTTTCTTGCCTGAGCTTGGCAGTGAACCTCTCCTTTTAGCTCGACTGGAAGGAGATTTTGAGGACCAAAGGGGCACACACCAGTACACTTATTTCTCTTTCCTTAATTCAGTTTGGGAATTAAATCTCTGTAAAACACTGTGTTGGTCCTGAGGCACCAAAAAAGTTGTGTTTTAACCACTTATCTCTATTCAGGATAAAGTTCACGTTGCACCACCACTGTTCTTTATTTCCATGTGGCCTGTAGTCCTTAAAACACACCTCCCTCTACTCGTGGCCTTGGATTTTGTTCCCATTTTTTGCTGTTGTCGATCTCAGTGAGTTTTTTGGGATGTCAGCATTGTTCAGACACAGGAGCTTTAACTACACCCCGTGTGTAAATATGTAAAGGATGTACAGCCCCTGTTGTGCTGCTCACCAGTGCATTGTCTCTGAAACATTAAAGCAAAATGTTCTCCTTTGGAGTGGGAGCGTCCTTGAGGTGATGGTTCTGCACAGGGGAGGGACAGAGCTCCCTGCCCTGATTTGGGGATGGTTTTCACTCATGGATGAGGTGCTGGGTTGGGTGGTGCTGTTTTCCACAGGGGAGTCCCCAGCTGGTGACTGGGAAGCAAGAAAACCTCCAGGATTTGTTGTCACCTTCTCCTCTTATGCTGCTGCTTGGAGCCAGGGGAACCCAGAGCAGAAACACTGGAGCAGGGTGGTGAGGGGCAGGGGCTGCTCCTGGCACTGAACCTGGGGGGATTCACCCTCTTCTTGTACCCTTTGTGCCCTTCTTGAGCTCTCCTGGACCTCACATTAACCTGAGGAAATTCCTGGTTCCTGGCCTGAACAGATGAATCCCATCAGCATCCGTGACAAGGGACCTCGAAGGTGAAACCAGGGTTGGGTTGGGTTGCCCCAAGGTTGTCCCCAGGGTGGGTAGATGGGCTTAAAGCCATTCCTCCTGTCCTCCAGCCTCCCAGGAAGCAGATATTGCTGGGATTCAGGGGAAAAAATAAATATATAAAATGCATGGGTGGCAGCCTGGTGATGAGCAGGGCAGCCCAAGGGCAAGGGAAGGGGTCCCAGGGTTTGTGTCCACCCTGGGGGCCAGGAAGGGAGCAGGGAGGGTGGATGAAGCCTCCTCCAGCCCCTGCTGTCCTTTGGATCCAAATGCTCTGAACTGTGTGGAAATAAATCCCGTGGGAAGCCCCAGGAGCATTGGCAAGGCCCATCCCTGTGGTGAGGCTGATTCTGCCTTTCCCACAGCTCTGCATGAAAGCTGCTGCTTGTGGTGGGAAATGGCCTGCTTGGGAAAACAGGCACTTCTGCAAGGAATTATCTATTTTAAAATTTTTTTAAGGTGTGAGATTGGGAAGGAGCTTCACTGGTTTTGCCATCGTGGGAAAATCTGTTTATAGCTTTATAGCTAAAAACCCCTAAAACCAAAACCACCAAAAAACCCCCAAAAATCTGCAACTAAAAGCTAAAACAGAAGGACCAAAAGCTGTTAAAGAAGGGGAAATCCTCCCAGCCCTGACCTGCCCCATTTTCCAGGACTCCACCTGATTTATCACGAGCTCCATTCCTTTCCTGATGCTCTCCAGTGCTACGTGTTGCTTATCAATTTTATTTTCTCAAGGGAAAATATCTGAGCAGCTTCTTTGAGGTTTTTTCCTCTCACTTTGGTTATTTTGGGTGTCTCCCATCACCTCCTGCCCCTGTGCTGTGGAGTGACCATTCCATAAACCCCTGTGCCATGGAATCCCAATCCATAAACCTCAATCCATAAATCCCATGTCCAGCCATGTCCTGGGCTCTTTGGCCCTCACCCCTGTGTTCCACCTCTCCATGCAGGTTTTTATCATGGAATCATTAAATTTGGAAGAGCCCTGCCTGGCCACCAAGCCCCAAACTGCCAGGCCCACCAGGATGCTCCAGTTCAGGCAATTCCTCCAGCTCTGGGCTCCAAATTTGGCTCTTTTTAGACAAAAATCTGCCTTCCAGCAACTGCAGGCAAGGCTGGAATCATCCCAGAGGCTTTGAGCAGCCTCCAGAACCTTCCACGCCTTGGAGAGTTCCTTAAAGAGCTCCCCAAGCTCCTCAGCTCCTGTTCCTGCTCCTGTTTCTGGAGCTGGGAAAGAGCCTGTAATTAGATGTGCCCTCCGAGCCTTGGCTGAGCCCTTCTGGAATAAAAACTTCTAGGAAAAGCTTTGCCTTCCAGCTGTTTTGGAAGTTACACTCATGATTTAGGGGTTGAGGGGGCATAAAACATTAAAGCTCTTTTTAATAAGTCTTGGCCTGGGAGGCACAGAAAATAATCCCAGTATTCAAAGGAATATTGTTAAAATACACAAAGAATATAATCACAGGGGATTTATTTGTAATTTTTAAACAAGTTTATGTTGTGGGGTGTTGCAGGGGTGGTTTTGGGAGGTGAATGTGCCACCTTCCCTCTGCTTGCTCTTCTTCCCCACACCAGGATTGTGACAGTGAAGCAAAGGTGAAAAACCCAAACTAAGAGGGATCAACTGCACTGCAAAGGCCTGAAAATGATTTTAAAGGTGCCAAGGCAGAGCACAGGGTGCTGCTTTGGATTGGATGTGTGGGTGCCACGGAGGGAGCAATTCCTGGGCCCCAGCCCAGGTGTCTGTGCCTCAGCTCCCCCCTGCCCTGCCCTGGGTGCCTCTGACCCCCCTGGGCATCCCCTGGTGCCAGCACAGCTCATCCACAGCTGGCACATCTGCGGCTCCATTGTCCTGGGGCACGGCATGGAGCTGCTGCAGGAATGGCTGCAGGAGGGGACAGACGCTGCTCCAGCCTGAGGGGCATCAGTGTGTGGGGAAAAGGCAAAATGTCAGCATGCAGCCAAGGAAGGGGTCACTGCAGCAATCCTGCCAGAGCTGAAGGAGGGTTTGGACAATGCTCTCAGGTGGGGTTGTTGGGGTGTCTGTGCAGGGCCAGGAGTTGGACTGGATGGACCTTTGTGGGTCCCTTCCAGCTCAGGACATTCTCTGCTGGCTTTTGGTGCTGTGCAGGGGCCAGCCCTTGGCTGTGGGCACAGCCCCAGGTGCCAGCCCCAGCTCTGTGCCCACCTCTGCAGCCCCTCCTGCATTGCCCTTCACCAAGGGAGATCAGCTGCGGGGGAACGGGGCCTGCCTGGGGAGGAAGAGAAGGATGGGAAAGGTTTTGTAGGGAACAGCCGTGGGAGGGAGGGAGGGAGAGCTGGCAGGGGTCTGCAAAGGCCCTGGGGGATGCCCGAGATCAGGGATGTCCCAGGGGCTTGGCTGGTCCCTGTGGTGTTTGAGGGGGTCCCCAGAACGAGGTGAGAGATGAGAATCTGACTCCATGTCTCAGAAGGCTGAATATAATATAATATAATATAATATAATATAATATATTGACATTATACAATATATTATTATAATATATTTTATATATTTATAATTATATAATTATATATAATTATATAATAATATAGTAATATTATATT